AAAAATTATTTGAGAAGAATTAGTATTATTTATATATTCTTCAAACTTAACAAAGTTACTTAAGAAATTAAAGTTTAAATAAACACTAAAAAATCAATAGATTAAAATAAATAGGCATTTACAAATTACTAGAAGCAGCAGCAGGTTCAATTTATGTATACATAGTCTAAAGAGAACATATATAATATATATAACAAAATCAAGATTGAAGATCTAAATAGCGAGAGAGGGTACCTGCAGCTAGCAGAAAGGAAGTTTTTTCAGAGATGACAAAGCTGATTCAATTAGAACTATCAATTGCAAGACTGATTCTTTCTGATTCCGATGAGAGAAGTTGATGGAGCCAATTGTAGAGAAGGAAGAACTTAAAGTAGGAGGCAAGTCAATGAGAGAAAGTCAAGAGGATATTTCCAGGAACGAAGATGCATGGCAATTAGCAACCACACAATTGTGGTTTTTGGATGAGGATGCGCAGTAACTATCAAGAAATGCCGTCCTATAATCCAATATGGTATATAAAATTACATAAATACCCTTACAGAACCCTCTCAATTCATCATCTTTGATCCCCCATCTCTCCCCTTGCCTCCCTCTTCCTTGCTTTCTTTTTCTTCTCAAATAGAGTTGTGAAAAATCACTGCGAAATAATGACCCATGAGAAATTTGCGTTTAATTGTTAGAGCCAAACAGAGCTGGATAAGCAATTCGTTCCGGTCGTTGAAGGGCATTGAAATGGGTTTGGCATTGGCATTGGCATTGGCTTCAATGGCAGCCGCTATCATGGTTGAGGCCAAGAAGCAAGAGAAACCGAAAATCACTCGTGGGCATCAAACCCAGATCTGGAGATAGAGTGAGAGAACCGACCCAAGGGACCAGATCTGAAAACCAGGGCATGGATTGAGAGGGAAAATGGAGAAAATGTGAGAAGATTCGAAAGGAGAGAGGAGGCTGTGTTCAGAACTTTGTTCAGAAAGAGTCCCCTAGCCCCATGAATACAGAAACAGAGAGAAGGAAAAAGATTACAATCGAGAGAAAAAGAGAAGAATCAAGAGCTTTTGGAAGAGAGTGGAGAGCGCGCAAAGGGAATTTGAGAGGGATACCTTTCAATCAAATGACGATGTGATAACTTTCCCTAATAGTTTTGCAGGGAACTTGAAGTGCGTCTCTGATTCTTCAAGTGCTCTTTAAGTCTACTGAAATGACGAGTTCAATGAAATCCTCTGAGAAAAGCATGGTAGACTTAGTTGATTTTAAGAGCATGTCCTAGGGAATCCTTTTTGGTTGAGAATTCAAATGAAAACTCAGCTGATACTGTATCTTTGCGTAGCTCTGATGATTTGGGTCGGTTTTTTTCTCCTATGGTGCTACCACCTTCGCCATCAACCAGAATTTTTCCCCAGAAGAACAAGGTGTCAGAGACTAGATTAACTTCCTCCACCAGTGTGCGGTCATTGGACTTAATTGATAAAAGGGCTCTTAATTCCACTGAAATTTCATGTTCAGTTGTACCTTCTGAGACAAATGTTGTAGAAACAGATGATTTTTTAAGCAAGTTCTCATTAAGTGGATCCTTTTTGCTTGAGGATTCAAATGAAAACTCATCTGCAAGAGAAGTATCCTGTCATAGCACTGTTGATGTGGCTGGGTTTGTTTCTCACACTGTTCTTCCATCTATACGGATAAGTGCAACTTCATCTGGGGAGAAGGCATCAGAGACTGAATTGTTTCCCAGTGTCTTTTCATCAGAATTAATTGGTAAGTATCAAGACTCAAATGTAATAGAAACACTCTTGCTTTCCTTCATAGTTGATTTTCATTTCACATGTGTTGCGGCTCTGTCAGTGTAATCGTCACAACCCGGTACTAGGTCTGTCTGTGTTGCATGAATTTTAAACTCATATATACTGTGTTTTGACTTTTGACTTCTTTTGTAATAAATCATTAGTTTTCCACCAAGCTTAGGGGACAAAATAGGCAGCTCAATGGCCATTCGACCACTATAATAGAAGTGAAATTGCAAGATTTATGTGTCATTTAGCGTGTGCATGAGATAATTTTACTTATTTAATGGTGAAGTTCGGATTGCATTTAGGAGGTGATATTGTTCTCTCTTCTTTAAACTGCAGTTTACCCTTTTATCTTTGATCTCTTTCTTTGGTTAATTCTTCTTTCCGGTCCCTTTTTTAGGTGTTTGGCATTGATAACTCTAGCTTATTCAATTTGAAACGATTTGACTGAGGCTATATAGCATAAAATATTTCCCTATGTTTATACTAATGTATATTTTGGATGTTTTGCAGTTTTAACTGATTTTAAAATTTTCTACAGGGCCATCAGATGACTCCAATGATGTGGTTAGTATTTCTTCCATGGAAACCATTGCCTTTTGTGACAATGCGAAGCTTGAGGATAGCTAAGTCTATGTGGATAATACTGCACTTTATGTTGTCTCCTGTACACTCAGGAAAAAAAGATCATACAAGGTGCATACTAAGTCTAACATGAAAAAATAACCACAGAAGAGAGTAATTTTAGTTAGGGATGCATTTGATTAGGCTTTCTGTGTGTAATTCACCTTGTATGTAATCTTTCCTAATTCATAATTTCAGCTTATTAATAAGATATGGTTTTTGTCTTCTGTTTAACCAGCGAATGTTTTGGGACGCTTCAATTGCAAAAAAGAGTTTAGCAAAGGGGTATGAGCAACTAGCAATTTGGTTTGGAGATGTCGAAATGGGGTCCAACAATGATTCTATGCAAAGTCTTCTTCCATGTACAACCGCCACAACCATGGGGTGTGAAAATTTGCAAACAGAAGCTGAAGGTGATTCCGGATGGGAACTTTGTAAATAATCATAGCAGGGGTTGCTGCTCAATGTAACTGGATTCAACCCCAGGCCTCATGCTTGTGCAGGCAAAATCATCGTACCATGAATAAACAAACATGGTGGGCAATACGTCTACTGAAAGAACCCTTTCATAAGTGGTAAAAACATTGCAACTTGTTCATGGCATTTTTGGTTTGCATTTTTCTCTAATATGGTTACCACTGCCAAACATATCAATTTTCTCTTTCTGAAAATAATGGGATGAAAATTACTCATTTTTTATATGATTGTATCAAATATCTTGATTTTACATTCCTTATTTGCAAACACCCTCCCATGGTGGAGAGGGGATGGTAGCTGAGCCAACTTTTGTGCTTGCAGGTTACACTAAGCTTTAGATGCTGGAAACATAGAGAAACAAAATGGAATTTCTTAGCTCGAAGTTCCTCCACAATTGCTCCAAAAGGAAGATAACAATCATTGTTTGACATGGCTACTTTTATGGCTTGAAATCAATTTGATTCAATGATGACATTGCTGTGTCCAAATTCTCTGCCCATCCCCAATGCAAAATCAATAGCCATAACCTCAACTTGAAGAATTGATCCCTGAAACCTACAAGTTCTTTGCACAGCCCCTATAACTTTGCTGTCACAGAGCCTAAGGACAACTCCAAAACCTGGCTATGCCTTTCCCTCTTGTATTGCTGCATCAGTATCGATCTTAATGGAATCTCCTTGAGGAGGTTGCCGTTGTACCATAGGTTGCACATTCCTTCCTTGTCTCTAATCTCGTGTCCTTCCTCCCCAATGCTTTCTATATTTAGCAATGTATTCAAATGTCCTTTTCATATTCTAATCCTGAACATTGATCTTTAGTTATTGTAAAATGTCATGAACTACTCTTCTTGATGACCAGACTAGATCCAGCTCCCCAGTATATGATGCTTCTTAAATTGGATGTCTAAGTGAAGCAGTTCTTGTGGCTGCCTGGCTTCCATTCCCAGCTCCTGAAAAATGTAGCTATAATCATCATCATCTTCTTAATTTTGTGATTTGGGATGTTTGTTTCTTTATAGATAATAGCAAGTGAAACATACCATAGATGTGTTGGGCACATGGTCAAGAAGAAGACCCTCTAAACTGGAGGATTGATGTTGGATTCTAACTAATTTGCCAGGTTTCCATATCTGTTAACTGAAAAACCCGAAACCTGGGAAGAAAGAACAATCTGTTGGATTCCAGAATGTATGCTTAAATTAAAAACTTGCTGATATATCTACCTATCATCAATCTTAGGCTGATATATCTCTCAAACACCCTCACATCAACTCCTTCCTAGCTCTTGCCATTTTTGGCTTTGGCATCCAGGTTCACCAATCACCTCAGGATAATGACTTTTTGCATGGTTTGAATTAGACTCCACAATGAAGGGCTCTCAGTAGTACTCAGTTGATGCATTATACTCCTAAAACACATTTCAAAGCTCAGAATGCTAGGATCAAGTGTCTAACACAAATACTTAAAATGTTAAATGTAGACTTATTAGGAATAAGTGAAGAATTTGAGTACATAGGAAAGCAAGATAGGCAGAAAATTTATGGTACCTCAGCATTAAAGATTGTCATGGGAGTAATTCCATGAACGGATTTTCTTTCCCCTCAAGAATGATGGATTGTACCAAACAAGACATTGCCTCAAATTGGTTCTCTGCACTGAATATATGAACATCAATCTTTGCTCGTCAAGATGTCCAACAGAATCAGTGGATCAAAACTAAGACACAAAAATGACATTTCAAATGCCTTGAAAGTATAAGAAACCAAATGCAACCTTTACAACCCTTAAAAAAAGGGACCCTGATTTAAACAACAAAGATGACAAGGAATTATGTTCTTTTGTATAGCACACATAATATAAAAAATAAGTTACCTTGGTAGTTGGCGTGAATCAGGCTGTCACCTCCAGACCATATAAGATAGTGAATCAGGCCTCCCATTGTAGATGAAGTAGAATCAGATTTAATTCAGTGTCCAACCAAAAGAAAGAATGAGATCTAATGACGAGGGATGGCTAGGAAAAAGAAGTAAAGCCCGAATGAATGCAGTTCATTCAACTAAGAAGCAAAAATTAACATCTATTTGAAGTTGAGTTACTAATGCTGTTTGTTCTAATACGAGGTAATTTATTCATACCAGTTTCAGAAAGCAGATTTCCATTCTTAGTTGCAGAGGACTTTTCACTGTTTTTGATTTTGCTAGCAACTTTTGGATCAATACATGGTAGCTGTTTGGCAGGATAGAGTGATGCTAAATTGATGGCATCTTTATGGTTGTCTTCACCCAACGAATCCAAAACCACCATCCTTTTCCTGTTGGCTTCACCTTTAGAATCTTTATTAAAATTAATATCATCAACTGGTGCTCAACTGGACTTCAACTTTGCAGAAGCACAATCACGTAAGTTTGCTAATGAACTTACACCTCCAAAAGAGCCAAATAATTAGTAAAGGAATGTCCATTAAAAGCATTTCATAACACCACCACAGAATTTTCTTTATTAGCAAATAAAAATATATGAGAAGAAGCACTTCAAGAGGCAAACAACTTGAAAGCAAGTTGTGATCTCAAAAAGAAAAATGTTTCGTTAGAAGATAGCCAGAAGCAGAATCAACTACCAAATTCTCAAAAAATCTCAACTAAAATAACCAAAAAAAGCCTACCTGTTATCTCTTAAAGAATTTTCAATATTTGAAGGTTGCCACTTTAGGAAAGCTCTTGAAGCCTTGAAAAATTCAGCATTCCAGAGCACACAGCTCACAACACTTTGCAATGCATCCTTGAACATTGTACACCTGAAACGAGCTATTGCCATCAAATTCTTGCTTAGCTTCTCCAAGAAATTTAGAGAAGAAATTATCACATTACTGCTTTGCTATAGAATTCAAAAAATTCCATTTGTGGTAGCAAAAGAATTCATCAACAATCATGAGTTTGTGTTTTCATTCTTATAGCTTGTCAGTGTGAACTTTAACTAAATTCTTGGAGAGGAAAGATGTTCACCTCTTTGAAACATTTCATGAAACCAAAAGGTTGCAACTCAGCCACTTGTAGGAAACCTGAAAATGATACTAATTATTAAGAAACTTGTATGACACATCTTGCTTAATAACCTAAAAAGCATCTTACATTACTATTGTAGGTGAATAATATTAATTTTGACCGGTCGAAGTACAGACAAGGATAGAAAATGAAAACAGAAAAACCGACACTTACTACTTGGAGTTTATCGGAGACTAGAGCCTGGATCTCTTCCTGTCAATTGCCTACTGATTGTGCTGAAATTGCATTTCAAAAGGGCTCAATTTCAGCCACACATACCCAAAAATCAATTTATCTATAATGAACAAAAGTATAAAGCCCTAATGAAAATTAAATAAAATTCTTAAGTCAGAAAACTTACTACTTAGGATTTATGAGAGCTGAGTACTTTTCTGTTATGGATTCCTAGACAGGAACCCCTTTTTCTGTTCACTTCAATCTACAGAAATTGTTTCCATTTCAGTAACTTAAACAATCAAGGATTGCAAATGATAGAAAGGTAAATTAAATCGAGAAAAAAAAGAAAAAAAACCTACAAGAGTGGAAAAAGGTAGTGGAGTTTCGTTGAAATGTTCTCCAGCGGTCAAGTCAGCAAAGCAAATATGAAAGGTACATATTACAAAAATTTAAGATTTCAAATTGATAGTAGATTGAATATATGGAGCAATGAAGCACCATAGAAACAAGAGTAGAAATCCCATAACATAACATGCTTAGCAACTTACAACACAAACAAATTACCAAAAGAAACAAAACCAAGTTCATCCAATACAATTAAAAAAAGACATAAATTGGAAAAAAAAAAATCTAAGTTCTAACATTATTGTCAATGAAATCAAAGACTACTGGCAGTAGGTGATTCCAGTCCCGTTTTCTTTTGCTTTGCTGTTCCGACGAGAGAAGTTGCCTTTGCTTGAGAAAAGATGCTACAAACAAATAGCAGAGCTTTAAAATATGTTGAGAAATCTGGAGCCAACAAGAGATATTCAAGGAAGTGATCTTATAGGA